GTAAAAAGAATATGACAATTTAGGGGTTTTGGGGTCTACTAATATGTAAAAAATACATAGGCCTATGCAATTGTTGTCTCCCCGACAGAATGTGGTTTTTCTCCCCAAGGGGGCTCTCCCTGGTGGGGAGATGTGTATAAGAGACAGAAAAACTGCAGCAGATTTTCATTGAACTCACACTCAAAGCTGAACAGGTATGGTAAACATTCGCAACACAAATACCTAATACTTAGGTGATGTAATGGACACAGGACCAATATCCTCTATGTCCAGATCCAAACTTGTTGATCCTGGAATTGTCGATGCCTGCTTTATGGTCAAACTTTAAGTCTATTCTCAAATGCATAGAGAGAGGGAGCTGTTACAACTGGTTTAAATTACGTTCACATTATGTTCGCTTATTGATAATCTCAATCCAGTTCCAACCATCTTTTTTTTTTTTTTTATTGCATTGTAATTTGCCTTGGAATATGTATTTGTATATCTATTCTCCATGTGTTATATATCGTATATAAAATTACCTCCTCAACCAACAATGAACACTTAAGACATGTACCATTGAAATGGAAATTGTACTGTGTACAATTTTTCGCTTATTGATTTAATCTCAATCCAGTTCCAACCATCTTTTTTCTTTGTTGCATTGTAATTTGCCTTGGAATATGTATTTGTATATCTATTCTCCATGTGTTATATATCGTATATAAACTTACCTCCTCAACCAACAATGAACACTTAAGACAGGTGTCATTGAAAGGGAAATTGTAATGTGTACAATTTTTCATTTCCAGTTCTTGATTATCCATTAAGGGTCCCTCGAGTCGAATATAGACATGTGGAAAATAATTATTCATCAAATTCATTTACAAACTTAAAATCATCAACACGTGAGATAATATTATTTTAGTAATGTTTATCAGCCTACATGCGTGCCGTGATGTAGGTTACAAACCTAATAGTTGAAGTAACAAGCAGAGGTAGAATCAAACGCTATTACGAAGTAACTAGGATACTGCATGTATTGGATATATTTAGGAAGTTAGCTTAGAAATACACCCACTCGACTCCCTGGCTAAGTTTAAAGTAAGCACTTAACAGAGGTTATGCTGAATGGACTTTTTCTGAGTGTCAATTAAACTTAACAACTGTCCAATCAGAATAGGGTCGGGAATACGTGCGTGTCACACAAACGCGCGTGTGTGCGTATGTTTTTACACAGTCGTTTTGTGGGACCACAGCAACAAAATCCAAGGGGCGGGGCTTAGCGTAAAGGTCCAGTGAGTATCATAGGCGGTCAGAGTTCCATTCTTCTCAACGACTGGAACACCCTACTCCCCGAAAGATACACTGGATACTTTGAAGTGTTCTCAAACCAGGTGTGTACATAGTGTCTCCGGTTTGAGCTCTGTACGAGAGGCTGTCTCTTATACACATCTAGATGTGTATAAGAGACAGGCGTTATACTCTACGAAGGTCGTCCGA